TCATGATATAAACGAGGCATAATGATTACTACATATCTATTAACTACTTGAAATGTTTTTTTCAACATTTAAAGTTTTCAGGAGTATCTAGTATTAAACTAAAGACACAGGCCTATAATAAACAGTAGAACAATCCTAACAACTAAAAGAGCCACTGTTTTCTTAGCGGCAGTAGCACTTATCTTCATTAATAATACCCATTATATTGTAATTCTGAGGGAAAAAATAATTACTGTGCTAACATAATTTAAAATGTCTGAAGTCCATTACTGTCTTAATAGTAACAGCTGCTACTTTTAAAAATGTAAACATATTTTAGTAGTATACAATGAGAAATCACTTGAATGCCAAAAATACTAATAATGAATATGAAAAATTGTTGGAATAGGCTTTAACAACCATCAAGAATCAGCATAGTAACTCTGCTGCTGTTTGCTATAAGTCTCTTATCTTCATGTTCTGGTTCCTTCTGGGGCAGCCTTAAATAGGATAACCATTAGCTGGGATAAGAGTCTTCATGGACCCACTGAGCACTGCTTTCCACTGGCACCAACCTTCCATTATGAATAAAAATACACATTTTAGGCCATTCTCAAAATGATTCAAGTATTTCACTTATGGCTGATGCCTATCCGGTATCTGTCAAATAAGACCAGCCATGGTAGTCTGACAGTAAACATTTAGAAGTGTGTTAGGACTGGATATGCTTTAACCAGTATACTTTGTAGAGGAAAGCATTTCAAAAGAGTCACAACTTGCTCTTACTACCCACCCAAAGCATTTGGAGACCAGCCTAACCTGTAGGTGCATACTTTTATTGAGCAAAAGCTGACTATAAAAAGAATGCAAAAGACTCCACTAGGTCTGTGACAGAAATGGTGTGAACAAATTGTTACTCCATTGTATGGTCAGAGTTTTGTGAAGAGAATAAAAACGTAATGTGAAAAAAATAATACAAAACAAAATGAAGATCAGACTAAATACATGTAAGATGATATAACCAATTCTCTGGGAAGGAGGAGAAGCTATGACGGGACAAACAAACAGTAAGAACAAAAGACAGGATTATGCAGCACTTTAAAGACTAACAAGATGGTTTATTAGATGATGAGCTTTCGTGGGCCAGACTCACTTCCTCAGATCAAATTGTGGAAGAAAATTGGCATGCCCATATATACCAAAAGGATACAGTCAAAAAAATGAACACATAAAAAGGACAAATCAAATTTCAGAACAGAGCGGGGATGAGGGGGGAGGTTAATCAAACAGTAAGGTCACTGTCAATTATTCTTATGCATGAAACGTATCAGTGATAGACTGTGTGTGCCTTAGAGCCTGGGTTCCCAAACTGGGGAGTGTGCCCCCTAGGGGGGGCATGAAGAAATTCCAGGGGGGGCATGAGGTGACCCAGCCCCCTCCGTCAATCTCACCCCAAGTTTTGCTGCTTTTTTGGGGGGGGAGCATGAGGGTTTCTCAAATCAAAAAGGAGGCGTGATGCAGAAAAGTTTGGGAACCACTGCCTTAGAGTGTGAGAACCTTGTGCTGCCTCTTTGTTCTGTACATAGTGAAGACTTGCAGCTCTGGGGCAGTCTATGTAGCACCTTTGCCAGCACAATTTTTTTTCTCAAGTGGCCTGAGTAACTTTTTAAATGACTGAAAATTACATTCTTAAAATCATTATTTTAAAAATAAAAGTATACAAAGTCTTGTTAAAAATATGAGTGGAAAGTGAGAATTACCAGAACACAACAAATTTCTCACTATCTTATGGTATATTAAGGCCCCAAAACAAAGAATTATAAGGCACTATTAAAGCAGGCATAATGCTGGGATCACTTAATGATTGCCTGTTCTGTTTATTCCCTCTGAAACACCTGGAACTGGCTACTGTTGGAAGACATGGGGCTAGATAGAACTTTGATCTGATCCACTATGGACATTTTTATAAAACTAGTTTGTAGCTTTGGCAGCAGCCCTAAACAGTCCCAATGTCACTCTTTAGCATATTGGTGAAACATGTTTCACCTTGTGTTAATTAGTGATGTCAACGAGTAATCAACTAGGGGTACGTCTAGACTACATGCCTCTGGCAACAGAGGCATGTAGATTAAACTACCCAGTATAGGAAAATGAAGTGGCGATTATTTAAATCGCCACTTCATTTAAATTTAAATGGCTGCCGCGCTGAGCCGATCAGCTGTTTGTCGGCTCAGCGCGGTAGTCTGGACATTCCGCGGTCGACATCAAAGGCATTTGTTGACCTCCCAGGTATGCCTCCTGGGATTATTTAAATCGCCGCTTAATTTTCCTATGCCGGGTAGTCTAATCTACATGCCTCTGTCGCCAGAGGTATGTAGTCTAGACGTACCCCAAATTATTAACTGATAAGCCTAGGTTTATCCATTAATCTGTCACCTACTTGTATTTCCCTGCTGCCTCTGTATCTGGTTAGGCAAACTCTCTGGTTTGAAACCACTCTGGGCCTGAGTGAGCCAGACTAGGGAGGTCGAACCTGTATTTTAAGGCAGGACTCCTTTTGGTACCTGGACCTCTGGGCTATGTCTACACTCGTGGCTTCTTGCACCAGAAATATGCAAATGAGGCTAAGTGTGGAATATGGTGAGCCTCATTTGCATGCTTAATGAGCTTCCATTTTTGCAGAAGAGGCTCTTGCACAGGAGTGGTCTACACTGCCCCTTGCACAAGAAAACCCCTCTTGTGCAATGCTTTTACACCAATTATTTTTAGGAATAACAGCATTGCGCAAGAGGGTTTTTCTTGTGCAAGAAGGGGCAGTTAGTAATAACGGCATTGCGCAAGAGGGTTTTTCTTGTGCAAGAAGGGGCAGTGTAGACAGCTCCTTCTGGCACAAGAGCCTCTTCTGTAAAAATGGCGGCTCAGCTATGCAAATGAGGCTCAGCGATCTTCCACGCTTAGCCTCATTTACATATTTCTGGTGCAAGAAGCTCTGTAGTTGTACATGGACAAGGCAGACAGGAAGTGTGATTGCAGCAGCCCAGAGAACACTACCTGAGCTAGCTGTGAATTGGAGTAAGGCGAATGAAGAGGCATGTTAGCCCCCTCCCCAACCCTGATCCCAGCCCTGAGTGGTGCCTACTCCCCACCTATGGTTGCCAGCTTTCCAAATGCAGAAAACTGAATACCATGGCCCTGCCTTTACCTGCCCCTTCCTGCAGCCCTGTTTCTACCCCACCCTTTCTTTGAGGCCTCCCCCAACAATCACTCTCCCCCCCCCCCCCCCCTCTCCTCT